GGAGGCCAGCGGAGAGGGGACGATGCGCTACGCTAATGGGTGCGTTGGACTCCTCTCTCCGGTCCCACCTGATTAGTGCACCCATCACAGAACGAAACATACATACTTAGTATCAACGAACTGGTATTTGAGAAACCCAACTGCACGCTCAGGAGTAGCTTGTTGAATTTGCTAAGTGGGATAGGCTGTGACTGTTATTTTATTTATCGGGTAGAGTCCTCGAGATTTTCCAACGGAGGTACTCGCCGGTACCAAAGAGTTGACCGACAACCGGCAACCCACCCCTTCCCACCCAGTCCCACACCTCCCCCTTGTACCCCATTACGTTTTCTCAAGTGTTCTCTACCGTCGACCTCCGGTTGCTTTTCATTCCATACCACTCCTTCTTTCTCGTTCATGCCCCACCTCTATTTTTCCCTTCCCCTCTACCAGTCTCCCTGCTCCCCCCACCCCCCCCCGTCGTCCTGCCTCAACCCCCCCCTGACTCCCTCCCTGCCGGCTTGCCCGTCACCCCCCCCTCCCGCTTCTCTTCGCCACCTCGAACACTTTCTGTTCTCTTTCGTCGACACCTCCTCTCGTCTGTTGCCCCACGTCTGACAGCGACGTGTACGTCGGGGAGTGGCAGGGCGGACAGAGAGAGGGCAAGGGGGTGCTGTCCTTGGCCAACGGCGATAGGTAGGCGTGAACGGGGGAAAACGAGTGGATCATTTTTTATGAGCCCTTGTGAAATCAACGATGAACGAAGGCGTGTCGGTGACATCAACGTGGTCACGGTAACGGTTTCGATTTTTTCCAACCCAGCTGATTGGCCGGCCATGAGCGTCACAACATTTAGCGGGGCAACATCCAGGATGTTAGCTCACCACGCTCGCCTCCGAGAGCACTGCAGACGATGCGCGGCGTTTGGGCGGCATTCACAAGCTCAAGTGGTGTAAACGAATTGCTGCCAATGCACAACCCAAGCGACTTACGACCAAGAATCATCTCTCTCTCCGCGTTCTTCCTCCGCAATATTTCAAATCACATGCTGCGCGTATGCCCATTCGATCATGCGGGTCCTCCAGGTACGAGGGCGATTTCTTGAAGGGGCAGATTCACGGCCGCGGACGCTACATGTGGTCAGACGGGGGTCATTACGAGGCGAGCCAGAGTGGTTCTGACGCTGGCGATTTTCAACCGCCCAGAGAAGCGTAGATCTATTTTGGAGGACTTCATGTCTTCTTCAGTATCCCTAGGTTTCACATGGATAACGTATGAAGGTATCGTTTGTGTTGGGGAGGCCGACTTGAACTGCTTATTTGTCTCAACCCCAAAGCGGGCCGTAGTCCATCGCCGGGCGTGTTCCCCCCCCGCGCAACAGGCAGCGGTAGCACGGCACGTCCAAGCGCAGGTTGCACTCAGTCCATTAAGGGGCCACGTTTTGTTTTCGCTTTTTTTTCTTTCGAAAATATTCAGCAGTATCTCAGGAGCACCCGCCAGGACAAGCGTATATCCGTTTGTCCGGCGCACGCTCAACCGCTACAGTCAGGTGCTTATCAAGAATGGCGAAACGTATCCCGGACTGTCTATCCACACACACCAAGATGAATAAACCTATCTGCACGTTTGTCTACCTCCTGAGTAAACCTAACGCTACATTTGTACCCCCATGAAGGGCGACTACATGGCTACGTCGAGAGGGATCGGGCACGACGTGAGATTTCCGCTCCCGAACGGTCTCCGTCACGGTCGGGGGAAGAGGGTCTGGGCCAACGGGGCCACGTACGATGGCAGGTGAAAGAACACCGACGGCTGATACGGTTAGGAAGCGTTCCTCGTATGTACGTACACATCCATGACATAGAACCACACAGGCTTAAAAGAGCCCAAAGACAACGTTCCAGATCTTGTGACCTTGACAGCTTCCGTCGAGAGGACGGTTCTTGGTATGTCATTGAGGTTGGTGTATCCCGCACCCGTCTGTTGGACTCTGTTGCTGCCGCTGCGCGGTAGGTGGGAGAACGACCGCATGGAAGGGGAGGGGGTTCACGTCTGTGCCGAGGGCTCGCGCTACGAGGGGCAACTGCGGGCCAACTACCGCCACGGTCAGGGAAGATGTCAGTGGGGTAACAGACACGACACGCCATTCAGGTACTACGTTGTTCTCGTCTTTCTCAGCATATAGGCTGTGGCCGTCCTGTCGAGGACGTTGTTGACTCTGCCTGGAGGCTATTCATGCTCCTGGCATACACAACGTGTGAAAGCTGCGTTCTCTCGCGACGTTTGCGCACCGTTCGTCATGAGAGAGGCGTCCGGAAGCATGCCAAAGCCTTGAGGGGCGGAGACAACAGGGAAACAACAGGATACTTCATCGCCTTTGTCGCTTTCGTTTGTCTGAGAGTAGGGCTGTGGCAAACACCTACTGATCGACCTCTTCTCGCGTTCCCTGCGCCACTTTCTGATTAGGTGTCCCTTGGGATACACTCACGCCGGGCGGGGTTACTGCGTCTACGAGGGCGGATGGAAACTTGGTGAGTTGGACCCGGACAAAGTCAGCTCAAGAACAACCAAGCAAGCGAGCACAAACAGAAACGAGCTGCCTGCCGTGAGCCCACCCGCAACGTTGAGAAAGCGGCTTGTGATTATGTCAGTCGAGAACCCGAGCCCCTCCCCCCCCCACACATCCCTCAGAGCGCCATTTTAGGATCCTTGAATTACCGTCCACAGGAGCATAGAGTGTGAGTACTACCGGCAAAGTTTGAATCGAAATATCAACAATAGGCAGAATAACCACAGCGTATAACCTGGTTTTGGGACAGGACACTGGGAAGGACAAGGAAAGTTTCTGTGTGTCGACGACCGCACCGTCGAGGGCACCTGGAAGAAGGGGAAAATGTGAGAGACGTAAACGCGGATCGTACAACAACTAGACTACATAGTTGTACACGAACCCGCCTGGGATATGCCAGGAGGCTATAGTCTTGCTTGCTCGTTGTGCCAAGCTTGATGCAACATCACTCACCCTCTGTTTAGGTTCGTAGTGTTGGCGACAACGCCTTCGCTAACACGACGTCCCAAACAAGTGCTTCATGCCACCTGCGGTCGGCCGAGGAACCCGTTGTCTTTCGCCCTCCGTTCCCGCCTCGGCTTGTTAAAGGGACGGCTGGGGCACTTCCGAGCTGATGCTGGCGCACGAGCGAGGCGACCCGCGTCGAATGTTCATCGGAGGCGTGGGGGGTCTGTACAGGATATCCAGATACTCGGGTCAGTGGAGCGAAGGTGTTCGACAGGCGAGTATGTTTTGACGGACGCTCTGCATCGCTTCGGAGGTGAAAGATAGCTATTATAGCTGCATGCAATGGCACGTTCTACGTTCTTGGTCAACTTGCCAAGTCGGCTACGCCACCAACTGTGTGACCTCTCTGTAGCATGTGCGGTGTATCCATGTCGTCTACGACGTCAACGATATTGGATGAATAGACGCAATGAACGGATTGACATGGTACCTGTGTCTTTTGTAGAGCATTTGTTTCCGCTTGCGCCCGTTAGTGTTACCTACGTTTGATGTTCCCCTGATCGACACACTCTCGACAACCTCGTCGCCACCGCCCGCCCATAAGAGCCTGAGCACACAGCATGCGGGCAAATCTCGTTCGACCATATTTGTAAGACAAAGTTACACCATTAGCCAAGTCAGCGCTGACTTGTCTGATGGTGTAACTTTATCGCAAGACAAAGTTACACCATTAGCCAAGTCAGCGCTGACTAGTCTAGAATAATGGTGTAACTTTATCGTACAATATTTTTCTCCGGCCTCCATGTTGTACTATTTAACTATTTAATTAGTGACCTGTTGATCGTCTGGTGTGTACTATTGGCATCCCAAGGGTCTGGGGGTGGCCGAATACACGAACAAGGATCGACTGATCGGGAACTTTGTTGGAACTCAACTCGATGGGTACGGCGTTTACTCGTTTGGTGCTTCAGGCAAGGCAAGGTGAGCTTGTTGTCAGACTTAAATAAAATCGGCACGGCCGCTGTTTGTTTCGCAGGACACGCATCATGTTGCCGTATCTTCACCGAAGAAGGTTTCGAGGGCCAGAGGCAACCAAACGAATCTACCAACCGCTACGACAAACACGTGTCAACCCGTATCTACTCAATAACGATTCCGGGCGATACTATTTCCTCAGACTCTCCTCGCTGCTTCATTCATTCGTCCAAGCATAAACGAAACAAAGACGGCACCACATCCTCGCCGACCACGGAATCCCCCCAAGCTCTGCGTAGGTTCAGTGCTAAAATTGTGACTTTTGTGCACATTGACCGCGATAATTTTTTTGGGGGGCAGAGCCGCCTTCTGGAGGATGGGCAATCGCGAACGGTGGGTGGAAGACAAGGAAGTGGAGGCCAACGGGCAGCTTGCCGCGACCGCACTGAAAACCATACGCGCCACCCCCGGGGCGCTCGTGTCAGGTAAGGCCCCGCCCGCAAAACACAGGGCCTGTTCTCTTTGCAAGGTTGCGCAACACGCGACTACGGGACAGAAGGGAGGGAGGGAGCCACTAAGCGTGAGGATGGAGATAGGAAGAGGGGGAGAGACAAAAGAACGAGAGAGGGAGAGATACAAAAGCCAAAGACACGTGCGTATCTCGTGTGCAATCATGAGCTTGTGTGCCTGCAGTAACAACCTCAAGCGCCCCCGGCCCCCGCGCCCTACTTGGCACCGCACTTGAAATGCTGATTTCTTTTCGCACTCAGGTGACCTTGGGGAGCTAAAAGAACTCTGGCGGGTCGCCTCCGGCGCCGGGGAGATTACTCTTGAAGCTCTCGCCAAGATTCGCAACAATTGGGTCGATCTTCCCATGAACCACAGATTCTCGTCGTATCAACGAAGCTCCGCAGTGGCAGCAGCAGCAACAGCGAAGCTGCATCACCAGAATGAGCAGCGGATGGGGGCTTTCGAAGAAACAAGCATCGAAGATGCCGCCAACAGCGGTGCGAGCTGCAGTAGCGCCCGAAGAGCCAAAGCCGCCAGTGTTGGCAGCAGAAGTCAAAGCAGCGGCAGCGGGCAGAAATAGAAGCTCGCGCGCTTTCTATTGCCGTCACCATGGGCTCCTCTCAGTCGAAACCGAGCATCCGGAAACGTCAGATCGTATTCAACAGGCTGCGTGGTATGGGGAAGTTGCAAAAAAACACGCTCCGTCCAGTATTGATCCACATGTATGCGCCCGCGTGTTTAGAACGCTACGTCCAAACGGTAAGCGCGCTAAAATAATACTACCGCCCGCCCCAAACTGTATAATGACCTCACACTCTCTTGCGTCCCCTAGCATACACCTCACGCAAGTGCACGCAACAACAACAACAGCTCAGACACTGGTCGCGAGCCGCGAACGTAATATCCTTATATATGCCCCCTATCCACACAAACTCGCGAGACAGCGTAACATGCTCCCATGTACGGCCACGCGACGCCCTACGCCCTACGCCCTCTCCCCCTCCCCACCTTTCGGAACAATCCGTGTTTTTGTGGAGTTCTAGACACACAGCCCCCTGGGAACGGTTGCGTATCCAACGATGTCCCTTCTACCAACACACGGCGTGGTTACCCTGCACTACAACGTGTTCCTTCGTGATGGTTTTGTTGTCGCCTGTGCCCCCTTGGTTGCTCTCTGGTGGCGTCATCGCATCACGCGTTTCGTCGAAGCAGACAAAACACCCGCGAGTCCACCTCGATGTTGGCAACATGTCGCTGGTCCCCTGTCAAGCGCATCAGCAGTCCCCCGAACGAGGCGAACACCTTTCCCACACGACCGGGCCATCCAAACACAACAAACAGGTGGGGAACGAAAACGTTGCAACGGCGGCCGGTGGCGGGGGGAACGGGCGACCGGAAGGGACAGGTGCAGCTTATGACCACACACTCGCAATTTCCACACATACTCAGCCACGGACATGGGAGTACAACATGGTCATCCCCCTACATATCGAGCCGGTCGCCCCGGTGGTCGAGTGGGTATCTTCGCAGCCTACTAAGGGCCAGGTCATGGGTTCGAGTTCCGGCATAGTGAGTTTAAACAAATCCTGGTCTGAGTTGGAAGCGGCGCGCTTCAAACCTCGTTGTTAGTAAACTGATCGGCTTCATTGGCGACATCAACTTAGCCGTCGCGAGGGAAGGCATTGTTGTACCGTTCTCGCGATAAAAATATCTCAGGCAGGCACCGCAAGAGGCAGGTGGGGACACAAGAACACAAAAACGAGAAAAAAAAACGGCGTGGGTACCTCCTCCTGTGTGACCCCGGACGATTCGTCTAGCTAGTTGTAGTGTACCAAGTAGCTGAAGAGCGTAAGTACACACACGCGGTAAACGTGTGGTGTGCACCGAAGAGGAGCAAGCAGGCGGCGCCAGAGATGGGACGAAAAAATATATATATATACCATCGCTGCACGTCAACATTCGGGCTCTTTCTTACCTGGACCTTCGTGTCCTTCTGCTGGTCGAATCGGTACACTCGCCCGTGCATCACGTACTCGTACTTGTCCGCCAGGGACACCTGCCCACCCGCAGCAGGCAAGCGCAAAACGGGCGGTCGGCTTGGTTAGCAGGGACGCGGAAAGATGAGGTGGCTTGTCACCCGGAGAGATGTGGCGCGATTCGATGTTGCTCGTTTGGACCTCGTGTCGCAGCGGGAAACCGCCCCTTTGTGCACAAAACAAGACCGGGAGAGAACACACGCTGAAGAGCGTGCAAAAACGCGGCTGAATAAACAATTCACTGCAAACATTTCACTACATGTAGATCAACACAGACATCAGCAGCAGCATTCCAAGCGTTCTTGACGAAGGGAAAAACCATACTGGACAATTCGATCGCCCAGGCAGTCGTGAAGTAGCGTAGTGACTCGAAAGGAAAAAAAGTGCGGTGTATGAGAGTATGATCACCTCATCCCCCAGTGGCTTGTAAGTGCCGTCGTCGGGCTTGCCGCTCAGATCCAGCGTGCTGGCTATCACAAAGGTTAATCGCTCCCCTTCCTTCACCGGGTAAATGTCGCAGTTCGTGTCTTTCCATGTTGTCGTTCAGGGCCGGGTTTGGCACAACATACAGAGGACGGGCGACGCAAAAGAGGGTGCGGGGGAAAAACAGGGTAAGCTGCAACGGAACCAAGCCATGGAGTTACCGCTGCTGTCGTGGTAGACATGCCTTCGTGGTAGACATGCCTATGCATACGTCATGAGCCCACCTTCTAAATGATCTCGACATAGAAACCTTTTCACGCATTGGCCGACGCCAAACAGACCAACACGAACCGGTCAGATGCAGGTTGGTGGTTTCTCGGTTCAAAATCACTACGTGGTATATGCTAGAACCACCCCGCTTGACTACTGATGGTTTTCAGAGTGAGTTGGTGAAGAAAGCCATGCATAACCACCAAGGACCAAACTTTATTCTTTTCGTCACAACCTGGGGCGTGCACCTTCTACAGCAGCAGTGTATCGGCACATCCGTAGCGGTCACTTCGCCGGTCCTGTTTGTGGCGGCGAGTGTCGCCTTTGTATAGCTCACCTAGCAGGAGATCCATATCGTAGGTCACACCCTTGCACTCCAGCCGGTTGACTACCGCGCCGATCCAATCGGTCACGGTTGTGTTGAGGGAGGGAATTGGAAGCAAGCCGGCAGCGGGGGGCGAGTCAGGTTGGTGCGATGGGGAGGGAAAGAGAGACGTCAAGTGGTGCGTTTCCTGGAAAAAAAAATATGGAGAACACGGCATGTGCATGCCCTCGTGTGGCGCCTTCTCACAGAGCGATTGACGCTACATACGTTCGGGTCTGTATCTGCAGACCACAGAAAGGTGCCGTGGCAGTATTCATTGCATTTGGCACATTTAGCGAGAGGGCTGCATGTAGTCAGTCGCTCTGCTGTATGCTGCTGAGGCGTAGGGTACCGAGTGCGCCGCTAGACGCCGTCCTCGCCGACTTTGCTATTAAGACGAACGATAATTAACGCTTCAACCGGAGCGTTTTTCAACGATACGTGGTGAACGAGTCATCTAAACCTTGGTAGGCATCGTCTACAGAGGTATGTACGTCCATGTTTGCGTGGCTATACGCTCGCTGCGACGTGTTGGGGGGGAGGGTTTACAGCCGTACATGGTGTAACAGAACCCGCAGAAGTTGTTGCGCAGGAAACAGCAAACGCACAGATGCCCGTCAATCGTGATCAGACACCGATAGCGGTTGACGACAATAGGACCAGCACCAGCACCAGCACCAGCAGCTTAGTGACCAAATCTCCGGTGTTGCAGAACTCTGCCCTCCTTCTCGCTTGCTTGCCCATGGGGCACCGAGAGGTGAGAGGTGACACATAGCGTCAAGGGCTGGATTTCGTCAACTTCATCGAGAGAAGCAGCACGATAATACTCTCCACCCCCTACTTCTGGTAGTGAGTGCTATGCACGGGCTCTTGGTAGTAGCCGAAGGCCCAACTGGTGCGCCAGCACTCAAGAGGCGTGTTGGTCGTTCTTCAAGTGTTCAGAGGATCCACCCACAAAGAAAATGCCTGTTTTCTCACCTCTGTCGAACTTCTTTCCATCTGGATTGAGCTTCCCCACCTCGAAGATATCCTCGAAGAGCACCCCAGACATATTGTCGACCGCTCGCCGACACCTCTATCGCTTATTCTCTTGACTGCGTCGGCTGGCAGCAGGCGGGTCGGGTTGTTGTGGAGAGCGCATCGGGGGGGG